GCAGGCTCAGCGGCCATGGCTCACGGGCCCAGCCGCTCCGTGGCATGTGGGATCTTCCTGGACCGGGGCACGAACCCACGTCCCCTCCATCGGCAGGCGGACTCCCAACCACTGCGCCACCAGGGAAGCCCAAATGCCCATTTTAATTTAAAAAGCAATAGGATCAGAACATTATTTATGAGCTTGTGAACAGCACTATGTCAGGGCCTCCTGCAGAAACCCAAGAGGGGATGCCCACGATGATGATGATGGCCGTGGCCAGTGTTCACCGAGCTCTCCTCTTGTGCCAGGCATCACGCTAACACTCTGTATGCACGTCTCATTTAATCTTAACAACAGTCCTATGAGGCCGGTACCAACATCCCCTTTTTATTCATGGAAAAACTGAGGCACAGGGAGGTCAGCTAAGTGGCCCAAGGCTCCACAGAGCTGACACTCAAACCCGTGCAGTTTTGCTCCAGAACCCCACTCTTAATCATGGCCACATGGCCTCTACATAAAAAGGGGCGCTCGCAGCAGGTGGGTCCACCCTCTCCATCCGCGGTGGTGAAGATTACAAGGAAGGACTCAGACAGTTCACGGACATCAACAAGAGCCCGGTAGAGAGAAGTGGGCTGGGCGGTCACACACAGCTCTGCTTTGGTCCACCTTGGCCGGCCGCCCAATGTCTCCGAGACAGGTGAATGGTGCCGGCCCGGCAGCGCGTTGAGAGCTCTGAATGAAGGTATGCCTGTCACCCCCGGCACAGAGGCTGCACGAAGCTGCAGGTCACTGTTCCTGCCCCAGCACACCCAGAGCACAAGCCCCTGGTCCGCCCAGCGTGTTATGTGCTCTCCCCACAGCCCCGTGAGGCAAGAGTCATCCCTGAATGGCCGGGAACACTGGGTCACGGCGGTGGAGGGACTGGCCGGGGCTGCAGGGCGGCTGAGAGACAAGCTCCACCCAAGGCCCAGGCCTGACTCAGCCGCGTCCCCTGCTGCTGATGCTATGTGCTATCTGTCACATCTCAGACAGAGGCTGGCAGCCAGTGGAGGAGCCCATGAACTCTGCGGTGATGCACTGACCGCAGCCCTGACTGCCCGGTGCCCACATGACACAACTTGACACTCGGGGAGGGGCACGGTCGAAAGCTGTGGCGACCAGAAGATGGGGTTAAACCCACGGCTGTTCCACCCCCAGTCAGAGCTGCAAGTGCTGGGGACAAGAAGGATTTGTAAGGAACACATATCCTGTCTAGAAACTTCTGCGTTAACACTCCCGCCGACCACCTCCAAGTTGCGGGCTTTCTTCTGGGCTGGTGGTCATGGTCATGGGAAGCTGAGAAGGCCCAGGTGGGAAGGGTCCCCCAGGGAAACACAGCTTCTCCAGTAAGGATCGGATGGGTGGGGGAGAGTCAGAGTCCCCTGGGTTTTGAGGTGCTAAATCCAAGCAACCAGAACCAACCTTGCTTGGTCTCCGCCATGTCACTGCTTTGTGGGCAGAGCTGGCTTCGTCATTATCTGCTCACCCTCCCCTTCGTCCTTTCGGTCCACAACCATCTGTCAGACCCCATGTCCCGCGCTTGCAGCACTGGGCTGTAGGTGGTGGAGTCAGGATGCAAACCCAGGTCCTCCGGGGTCAAGTGCGGGCTTCCCCTGACACTACGTGGTGCTCTATCCACTGAAGCGCCAGCGGAGGGAGAGAAATCTGGAGGGCGTTGCTCCTCTCTTTTCAGGGCAGCCGCGGGCCGTGGGGGGCGTGTGTCTGTGGCCAGGTGTACGGCGGCGGCGGGAAGGCAGAGCCCGGGGGTGCAGACGAATCTGCTAGGGGATCCCTCTCTGCCAACCCCACACCCCCATCAGGCCAAGCCCCCCTGCTCCCGCTGAGCAACTGAGGTCAAGCCCTTTCAGCACAGCTCAGGGGAGCCCCTCCCTCATTTCCCGATGCTTCTCTCACTTTGCTGCCACTCAGACCCCTCAGTCCTCATCCTGCCCACCCATGGGCCTTGGCTCAGCGCTTTCCACCTCCTGGAACACTCCAGACCTCTGTCTTGGAGGGCCACCCAAGTGTCTTCTCTGTTGCAAAGAACACCCTAGGCTGTAAGAGTTTCTCTTTTCCCTGGAATTCTGTACCCTCACTGGCTGCGCCGAGAGCACTGGCTCCAGGCTCCTGGGTGATTCACCACCCCTCTGGTCATCATCAGGGAGTGTGGCTCTGTCGTTTCAGGACCTTGTATGTTGCAGGCGCCTGGCAAGTGGCCATTGAGAAATGAACCGAGTCCAAGGGAAGGACCTGCTGAGCGGGTCTCACGCTTTGCCCAGGGGTGGGGGTCACAAGGATGGTCCCCAAATCATTCACGTTAAAAGTTTCTGCTAAACAGTCGCTAACCCTCTCCACCCTCTTGTGGTGAATCCTCGACAAAACTAGGTCAGGAGGAATACCGCTTCGGTTGTTTCACATCCTCTGACTCAGATACTGAGGGTTATTTCTTAGCGCTAGTGGTGGAGGGGGGTGGACCGAGGAAAACAAGAGGAGCGGAGGGGAGTCTTCTCCCTGAAGCCGGGCCTCCACCCCAAGGCCACTACCCGGCGGTGGGTGTGTCGCTTCCTGTGGGCACAGCGGCGCAGCTGCCCGTAGGATACAGATCAGCGGGACCCCAGACCCGGGCGGTGGCGGCCGCAGGGGCGGCGTCCTGAGGGTCCGCGCGGCCCCCAGGGCTCGCGCCGGAGGGGTCACCGCTCTGCCCTCACAACTCTCCCCGGAAGCTGCCCCCGCAGCCCCGGGGCCCGTGCGCCAGGCGCTGCGGCCGCGGGGTCCCCGAGGCGCGGGCTCCGGCGGAGGAGGGTTCCAGGACGCGGGCTGGAACCGGGCCGCTTCCGCCTCGCCCTCCGTAGGCCCCTCGCCACATTTACTAACCAGCGCGCCCCGCCTCCGGCCGGCCGCGCCTCCTCCGAGGCCCTCCCCAAGTGTGGGCCCCCGCGGAGGCGCCACCACTCCCGCTGGGACGCCGACCCAGGTTGTGCAACCGGCGCTGCGCGATCTTTCCCAGCAAACTCCGTGTCTTCCCGGGTCCGCATAGCAACTCCCGCCGCTCCGGAAGTCCTCCCCACGGCGGCCCGCTCTGTGCCCGAGCCTCGGAACCCCCGAGACCCTGCGCGGACCTCCTGTCACTCGGCAGCCCCGCGCCCCCAGCCCTCGCCCCCCCCCCCCCCCCCCGGCGGGCCCCCCCCCCCCTGCCTCTCCTGGTCTCCCCGGCCTCAGGGGTGCTGATCTTGTCTGGCCTCCACTTTTCCTCCCCCCCTCGGTCCCCCTACGTCCCACCGGTTCACTCTGGGGTTGCTCCCGTCTCCTGGGGAGTCCGGGTACCCCACCAGCGGCCAGCAGGAGCCCTAGTTGTGGGGAGCCGCTAACTCCGCGTCTTCCCACACCGCCATCTTGACTCCTCCTTTAAACCATTTCTTTACCGCGGCGGCGCGGAGCCCCCATGGCCCCGGCCTTCGCGGAGGGCTCGCGCCGGGCTGGGGGAGCAGCGAGGGCGCGCCCCTGGCTTCCCCTCGGCTGAGTCCCGAGTTAGCTCCAACACGGCCGCTTCCGGCTTCCAGCCCTGCCCCGGGCGGGCAGCGCAGAGGGGAGGGCTCGGGCCAGCACAGTCCTTCCGCGGGTCCCGCCCCGACGTGCGTCCCAGGTGCGCGCTCCTCCCCGCGCTCCTTCAGCCCCGCCTGCGCCGAGAATCCTGGGCCTGCGTTTCCGGCGCTCCAGCTCAGCTCGCTTCCGTATTTCATCCCTGCTCTTACCGTCAGGCTGTAAAACTCTATTTTAATACCTTCCCCGAGCTCTCGACCCCGGCCTTACTCTCTTCTTTTTCCTCTCCGTCAAAGGAAGTCCTTTTTCTCAGTCCCTGTCTCTCTGTATCCTCACCCTCTTACCCAGATTTTGCTTTCTTGGCTTTCCCTCCTCCTTCTCGAGGTCGGGACAACTCCGCGCTCCGACGACCCTGGCCCCCCGAGGAGGTGGGAGCGCTGGTCCCCACGCACCTGCGCGGGCTCTGGGCCTCCCTTGCCCTCGGCCGTCTGTGCCCCCAGTGCTGAGCCTGCGCGTTCGCCAGAGACCCGCCCCACTTCTGCTGAGGGTCTGCCTGGCTGATCACCTCTTATTAGTCTCCGGTCCAGAGGAGCCTGCCTTTGGAGCCTGCGGACTAAGTCCCTCCTCCCCGGCCTTCCAAGACCCCCAGTCCCCTGGGCGGCCCCCTTCTTGGGTACCCGTCACCCCCCGTCCCAGACCGTGCCCTCCCGTTTTATCCTACACGCTGCTGACAAGTGTGCCTCCCGGAAGTGCACTTTTCATTCTTTTCCTTCCTTCATCTGAAGCCCAGCGTCGTCTGCATTTCTTTCCCTGACAACTGACCGCCTCTGCTGGCCCCCGACACCCGCGGACCCAGACGCGCTTAGCCCTTGTAACGTAGACAGGCTTCCCGGGTCTGGGGAGGTGGATCTTCTCGCTGTCCAAAGGCCCTTTGCCCTTTGCCCGCTGTTGGCAGACCCCTGGCGACCGTCTGACCCCCCTCTGCCCGACAGGACCCAGCTGCATTAGGCCTGGAGCTCCGCCATCTCCAAACACTTTTACTTGTTTATTGTAAAAGAATTTTGGAAAACTCTGCATGCTTCCATACATTTTTAAGATGACACCCGAAAATTTTCATCCTAAGTGTAAACAGATGTGGAGGCTATAATTACTAAAATTTGACATTTGGAGTTGGCAGCTTCCGAGATGGCCCCCACCCCATCCCACCTCCCGGTATTTGCTTTCTTCTGTATCTCCCTCCCTTGAGTGTGTGCTGGGCCTAGTGACCTGTTTCCAGCAATAGCAGAGGAGTAGGATGAGACAAAAGACAATGGGATGTCACTGACAAGATTAGGCTATGAAAGACCCGGACCTGCGGTTGCTCAACCCTTTCCCGGTTGCTGTGTGCTGCCCATGGAAAGGCCCAGGCCGTCAAGAGCTGAGAAAGTTCTGGTCAACAGCCAGGAAGAAGCCAAGCCCGTCATTTCACAATGTCGGTGATCAGGAGTCAGTGATCAAAATAATGCAACTATGGGCTTCCCTGGTGGCGCAGTGGTTGAGAGTCCGCCTGCCGAGGCAGGGG